CTATATTCACACTGGGGATTGCTATACTCTTTATAATCACTAGCTCTTTTAAGATTCCGACCATGAAGTTGGCGCCCAGGTTCATTGGTCCATATGTGATCTCTTATGCTTTGGCACTACCTCCGGTCTTGCGTATTGCCAATGTTTTTCATGTATCCCTGCTTAAGCCCTTGTGCAATCGTTACACCAGGCATCCGTTTCGTCCTTTTTATGTCCATTGATGGCCAAGACGAGTATGAGATTCAGTTGATTGTAGACTCCAGGTGGTTATGGGAATGCCACCCATCACTGACCCCCTAGTGGTAGCTCCTCCTCCTCTCACAGCGGCCAGGTCGGGAAACATTAGAGACGTCGGCCACTGCAGCTTTGAAGGATATAAAGGTTTTTTTCGGTTTACCCCTTAAAGTGCCAGATCATATCTAATCACGTAGGTGTATCACACACGCCCATGATCACATGCTTCCCTGCAGCCAATGGGGGAGCACCTTAGACTTTTTATAAGCCTGTTTTGTCCATTTGTCTGTGCCCTTCTGTGGTTTCCATTGGGGTTATCTGAGAGCGCGTTCATTATAGTGATTTCTGTGTATTTGACCTTGGCTTCCCTTTTGACTATCTGATCTTTGTATTCTTTGACATTTTGGCTTTACTCCTGACTATTCTGATATCTCCATTCCTAGACTCGTGGCTTGTTAATAGTTTCTGTAATTTCTAGGTCTTGTCTTTAGCCTGTCTTGTGTTTTTTTTTCCTTTTATACGTTAAATCCGGGAATATGTCTTAGGTATTTTCTTCATATTTACTTAAGTTCTGCTTGTTGGGCATCAGCTATTCCTGACAGCCTCTTTCTGACAGGCAGATATTGATTTGTTTCCTGTATCTTCAGGTAAGTAGTTCACTAGGCAAGATGAAGCAGTATGAATCATCTTTAATAAAAACATCGAGAAATAGTATGTTTATTGTTATGGACAAAATATTAACCCAACTCATATTAACCCCTTAAGACCGGAGGACGTACTATTACGCCCTATTCTAAGCGGCTCTAAACGCCGTCGGGCGTAATAGTACGCCCTCCGGTCTTTCGGTACTTACCTGGTCGCCGGCGTGGGAGCCCCCCGCGGCACGTCCGTCCTCCTCGAAGCCCCCCGGCAGTGTGAGAGTGGGGTCCTTGCGAGGACCCCACAACCACCTGGCCGGGGGTAGCTGGCTGCAGCATTGCCAGCAGGGGGGCTGCCTGTAATGACAGGTGGTCCCCCTGCTGGCTGAAAATAAAAATAAAATAGTGTAAAAATTTTATATATATATTCTTGCACTCCACCTTTTTAAATTATTTGATGCCCGGTGCTTGTCAGCCAATTTAAAAAAGGTGGAGTGCAAGGTTTTTTTGGATTATTCAGCGTTAGCTACAGCTGTCTTTCTATGCACCCCCAATCTAAGTAAATTTATTCAAAGGATTGAATGATTATCCACTGACTTTTTTTTGATTTTGAGGGTATCAGGCTGAAACGTTGACACTTTGGATGTTTTAGCGAAGGTAATAAAAGTTAATTTTTACAAGTCCCTGGAGTGCTATCTTTGGAAAATTTTTATATATATATATATAACAACAAGTAGAAAGGCTGCTCTCCGGATTTAAAACAAAAAATTTATTTAAACATATTTAAAAACCACGACCAACGTTTCGGTCCCCGCTCGGGACCTTCCTCAGGGTCAAAAAATAGAACAGAACAATACAGTAAAGTGCAATCATGGACAATAAATACCTAAATCTATAATGGAAGTACTCACTCAGGTGTGTTCCCCCGTGTTCCCGCCGACACCCTGTACTCTTCCGGGTATGCGCGCGCATGTTAATGCGTCACGCCCCCTCACGTTGCGTGCCTACGTATCGGATACTACCGTTGCCGCGGCAACCATGTAAACAAATCCTTGTGTTCATACAAACCAGTGCGACGGACAGAATGATAAATAACACAATTAATATAAACCTGGGGATCTAAAAGTACAAAGAGTGTTAGGTGTAAGAAAGTGATTAGAGTTTATAGTAAGCTATTAGATAGCTATATATATCATTAAACATTAAACATTATAGACATGAATGTGACTCACTAAATGCCTAAATAACTTATAAATTAACCCATCTTGGGTATTTAAAGCAACACTACGCCAGAAGGTGATCCAGTGCAAATACAATAGTCTAAAATGTTAATAGTGTCAAAGTGTGAAAAAAGTGCTAATGGTGCAAATAAAGTGCTATGTAAAAGTGCTACAGTATAAAGTGCTTAACAGATCATGGTATGCTTTGCCATCTATATATACATAACATAATTATATATAACAACAATTATAATCACTTTCCATACATTAAAATCACAAAATACTAAACAAAAAAATAATAGGCATGAATGTAAAAATTAAAACTTAACTAGCTGTGAACCTTCATATAAAAGAATGATATGTGTCATTTAATTTTTGACATAAAACATACTATCACTTGTAAGACTCAATTTGTTGTATACAAGTTAGTCTGCCCGTGTGGGCTTTATTACGTGGGTAAAACGGAGACACAGTTGTGTGAAAGGATCAGAGGCCACCGGTCGAGCATTAGATTAGCCTATAGGGACGGGTCATCGGACAAACCAGTGGCTCAGCATTTCCTTGACCAAAAACACCCATTGGCATCACTGAAGTTTGTGGGCATAGATCATATCCCTCCCCCCCGTAGAGGTGGTGATAGGGGAAGGATGCTACTTCAAAGAGAAGCCTTTTGGATCCACCAACTAAATACAGTGGCTCCTATGGGGTTAAATGAAAGTAACACATATCATTCTTTTATATGAAGGTTCACAGCTAGTTAAGTTTTAATTTTTACATTCATGCCTATTATTTTTTTGTTTAGTATTTTGTGATTTTAATGTATGGAAAGTGATTATAATTGTTGTTATATATAATTATGTTATGTATATATAGATGGCAAAGCATACCATGATCTGTTAAGCACTTTATACTGTAGCACTTTTACATAGCACTTTATTTGCACCATTAGCACTTTTTTCGCACTTTTTTGACACTATTAACATTTTAGACTATTGTATTTGCACTGGATCACCTTCTGGCGTAGTGTTGCTTTAAATACCCAAGATGGGTTAATTTATAAGTTATTTAGGCATTTAGTGAGTCACATTCATGTCTATAATGTTTAATGTTTAATGATATATATAGCTATCTAATAGCTTACTATAAACTCTAATCACTTTCTTACACCTAACACTCTTTGTACTTTTAGATCCCCAGGTTTATATTAATTGTGTTATTTATCATTCTGTCCGTCGCACTGGTTTGTATGAACACAAGGATTTGTTTACATGGTTGCCGCGGCAACGGTAGTATCCGATACGTAGGCACGCAACGTGAGGGGGCGTGACGCATTAACATGCGCGCGCATACCTGGAAGAGTACAGGGTGTCGGCGGGAACACGGGGGAACACACCTGAGTGAGTACTTCCATTATAGATTTAGGTATTTATTGTCCATGATTGCACTTTACTGTATTGTTCTGTTCTATTTTTTGACCCTGAGGAGGGTCCCGAGCGGGGACCGAAACGTTGGTCGTGGTTTTTAAATATGTTTAAATAAATTTTTTGTTTTAAATCCGGAGAGCAGCCTTTCTACTTGTTGTCTTCTACATGCTTTGGAGCTCTGGTGGTGCGCCCGGTATTGGACCATATTGCAAGCGTGAGTGCAGGGGACATTTCGATTTTTATATATATATATATATATATATATATATATATATATATATATATATATATATATAATTATACACACCTCAAATTACACGTAGACTGATACTGATTAAATATATATAATTGATATATATATATTATAAAAAAAATGTAAATACGTTAAAAAAATTAAATGTAAAAAATAATGAAAAATATATAGGTGTGTTATTTCGTTCTAACTATTGTGAAATTAAAATATATATGTCTATCTCTCAATCAAAATACACGTAGAACGAAATATATATCTATATACATAAATATATACATACACTTACAATTAGCAGGACCTGCCTGACAACCCATGCCGAAAGTAAAAGGAATTTAATTTGCTAGCCCTATATTTAACCCTATAACTTTCCGAGACACCATAAAACCTGTACATGGGGGGTGCTGTTCTACTCGGGAGACTTCGCTGAACACAAATATTAGTGTTTCAAAACCGTAAAATGTATTACAACGATGATATCGCCAGTAAAAGTGAAGTTTTTTGCATTTTTCACGCACAAACAGCATTACACGGACAATATTATTGCTGTGATACTTTTACTGTTTTGAAACACAAATATTTGTGTTCAGCGAAGTCTCCCGAGTACAACAGTACCCCTCATGTACAGGTTTTATGGTGTTTTCAAAAGTTACAGTGTCAAATATAAGGCTTGCGTTTCATTTTTTTCACATTAAAATTCGCCAGATTGGTTACGTTGCCTTTGAGACCCTATGGTAGCCCAAGAATGAAAATTACCCCTATGATGGCATACCATTTGCAATAGTAGACAACCCAAGGTATTGCAAACAGGGTATGTCCAGTCTTTTTTAGTAGCCACTTAGTCACAAACACTGGCCAAAATTGGCGTTTTTTGCATTTTTCACACACAAACAAATACTAACGCTAACTTTGGCCAGTGTTTGTGACCAAATGGCTACTAAAAAAGACTGGACATATACCCCATTTGCAATACCTTGGGTTGTCTACTATTGCAAATGGTATGCCATTATGGGTGTAAATTTCATTCCTGGCTACTATAAAGTCCCAAAGGCAACGTAACCAATCTGGCGAATTTCAATTTCAAATGTAACATGCTATATTTGACCCTGTAACTTCCCAAAACGCCATAAAACCTGTACATAGGGGGTACTGTCTTACACGTGAGACTCTACTGAATACAAATATGTGTATTTATTTTATTGCAGTAAAAGCAAACAGTATTATGACATTGACCGTTAACATGTCATGTAGAACTAAAAAATAAAAAAAAATCGTATTTTCTCCCATTTTTTCATATTAAATTGTTTCATAGCTAAATATTTGATATTAAATGAAAGCCCTGTTTCCCCTGAATAAAATGATATATAATAAGGGTGGGTGCATTTACTATGAAAGAGGTGAATTACGGTTGGACAGACATGTAGCGCAAATGCCAGGTTTTGTTTACATTTTGTTTTGTTCACAACGTGTACATTTGGCTCTGTCCTTAAGGGGTTAATAAAATGCCTATTTACTCAGCATAAGCACAATCCGCATTATTCAACCTTATATGTGATTTACCTAAAATGGCCGTTAGGGAGTTTCCCTTTGACATTGACTAACACCCTCATTAACAAGATGGCGCTGCAATCTCCAAGATACCAGTGACATCACACCCGGTAGGAAGAGCAATAAATGAACCACTTAACACCTAACCAATTATTGATGTATTATTCCATGTTATCTCTGACAGTGCATATGATGTAATTTTGCTTTATAAGGGGCATGCCGCCCCCAGAATAAACATTCCTCAATTTTTTTTCATTAACCCGAAACCTGTGTCTGGTGTGAATTACTTTTAGGAGCATGCACGCATCTTTTTAAATTTGGCCGGGGGCAGATACGCAAGATAATCGATTGATTCCACATTAATTATCACTGTAAATCTCCCCCTGTTTAATAGCATGGTGGGACTGTTCTCATCCAACAGTATCAGCTTGTTCCAGTGGAAGTTATGCCTTTGTCGTAGTTCTGATTTGATTTTTTTTTTTTTCCTCCCTCTCCCTCTCCCTCTCCCTCTCCCTCTCCCTCCAGACTATTTCAAAAACTTTAATGCCAGGGGGTTGCTGACCTTGCAGCCTCTAGGGTAAATGAACTTGTCTGAACAGGTTTTATGACAATTTCCTATTGATTACTTGTTTTGGCTTTTTAAAAGTATTCTAAGGTTTATGCAGCTCAATTTTTTTTACATTTTTTTTTTTTATAACTATTAGCTGTTTTTGAACTCTGTACCTCCCTCTATAATTACTGCTTGGGCATTTCGCCATGAGTAAATGGTGTATGTATGTATGTATATATATATATATATATGTGTATATATATATTCGGGGCAAATAGCCGTATATGGAGTAAGGTTCCAGCATAAGCGTAGGATAGTATAAAGGGAGCAAGTCGGTTGTGGTGTGCCGAGACCGACGATACGGTAGGCCTGTAAATAAAGAGGGCAAAAAGAATAATCAAAGATTTAATACAGTCAATAATATATACAAATTAACCAGACATTTCCTTAAATGCATTACGGTATTTAATTCCTTGAAGGATTTTTGAAGGTAGGAATCTAGGACCGCAACTGGACACCATTTGTTGTGGGTAGGATAGTATGTTATCTCTACTGTTGGTGCGTGTTGACTCGTTTCGGAATGTGGTAGAGCCAAAAGGTAATGATATATGTGTTTACATACGTGGGATCGTTGAAGACAATGATCTGTCTGAGTGGTGGTTATGGTAGTGGATTCTCTGGCCTGAGAAAGGCATAAAAGGCAGTGTGCATGGCTGGTAATGGCCAACTTGGTAGTATAATTGAATGGTTGTAGCTCTAATAGCTCCGATAAGGATGGAAAAGTTGGATGGCTATTGGTAATATCTGAGAGGAACGTGGGGGGATGGATTCCTGAAAACCTCTGAGTATATTCTTGCCTGGTATGATAGCATGAAGTTATGGTAGTTTTGGCCATAGGTTATCCTGTGTTGTTGAATGCCTGTAAAATATATAATGGTGTGTGAGATGGTTTTAGTTTAAGGTGGCAAAAAATGAAGCAAAACCTAGGAGAAATGTTATGACACAGGTTGAGCTATGTCGTGTTCCAATGAGATTCTTTAAAGCCAGGTTAATAGCTGTGTTATGCATTCTACAAGTATGGGATGAAAGTGCTAGGTGGGATAGTGCATGCCATGCTGCATGAGTATGTCTAATCCATGATTTTGTCTCTGGAACGAAAGAGTGGCCGTGACTGTATGGGTGGCTGTAGGAAGCGTATGATGAACATGCCTGGAATATAAATGAGACAATTGTCGGTAGGGATGTATACCCCCGCCTGGTACATGTAAGTAAAAGAAATGTGGTAAGTGGCCAACCAAGTGAGTTCCCCAGCAATACCATGATCGTATGGATGATGAGTGGCATTGGTTGATATGACATGTGCTTAGTTGTCTGAGTAACAACGGATTGATGACCCTGACCATGATTTACCCCATGCCACAGCAGCTTCTTTTAGCGGGGAAAGGATTGCCCATTTTATGCCATGTAAGTGCCAGTTTGTAGGGTAGATGGTAGCCGTTTACTGTGTTGATGATATTGGTCTTAGTTAACGAAGCTTCAACCCATGCTTGAGTGATAGCTGTAAAGGTAGATCAATGGTGTGTGTGTATAGTAAGGAAACTCCTCGGAGGGTATGAGGGAGTTGAGACTTGGGGTAGCGAAGGTGTGTGGTGCCAATAAGTCTATGGTTAGTCTTTGTTTAAGGGAAGATTCCCTTGTGACAATACCAATGTGTTTGTGTTTGGTGCCATGCTGTAAATGGTGGAGATTGGAAAACCCAAGTAAAAACCCCTCTGCAAATCTTGGCTATGAGTGTGTTTACAGCCGACGGTTCTGTTGAGCTGACTGTAAGTGAGGGCATGCTATATTCCTTGAGAGTTTATTTATGATACCTGTATGGGAGCCCTTTGAAGCTCCAGAGCCTTAGTAAATCTACTAAAAGTCTGGAAGGGTGATGAGTCAGTAGTGTTGAAAATGCATTGGTGTGTACAGATGGGGAGTACGTTATTTGTAAGTTGTATTGGGACACATGGTTTGTCATGTGCCCTAAATGATTTGAACATATATGCAACTACTAATACCAATTGTCTCTGGTAGTTCAGAGGTGCTGGTACCTGGAGCCTGAGAGTGCTCGTCCGTTTGTTTGGGAGAAAATCCCTTCTGTATGGGTACCTGCACAAACAAGCATCTCTACATATTCCAAATGCCAACACAACCAAGGGATGGTCAGTTCCCGATTTACCTAGAATCCCTGGGTCTGACCATCATAGATACATCATCATACATATATATGCCTTGTTTCCCCAATTTGCCGGGATCATATGTGCGGGGTTAACGTCTTGTAACAAGAATTGATTGTACCAGGTAACCGAGTTTCGGTTGGTGCTGGTTGTACAGTAGCATGAGGCCCAGCCTTGTGAGGGCTGTGACTAACTCGAGATTGCCAGTCTGTCGTAAATTTTTTGGCTCATGAGTTTATGAGTGAGGCTAGCATGGCCTGGGTGTCACCTGAGTTGTTGTTGCTGGGCCTTCCCCTGCCTCAGTGTTGTCCGTTGATGTATGGAGGAGTTTGAATAACTCTGCTTTCCTTGCTGTGGAAGGGTAGGGGATTTGTCTCCTCCTTAGGTAGGAGCCACATCTCCTCTGCTTGAAGGTGTATCACTTCTAGCCGGGGCACCAGGAAGAGGTGATTCTTCACCATCTTTTTGAGAAATACTTCAATAACAATAAAGATTGCAATTATTATTTGTACCTAGGGGTCTTGTACCGGCTTGCTAGCGAAGCCGTAAGGCGAAACGATTAGGCTTGTTTTTTGTTTTTTTTGGTGACTGGTGAGGCCCTGCTAGTTGCCAAGTGGCTTGAGAGGCTCTATCTATGCTTGGCACGAGGGGATTCTGTGTGGCCACCGAACGTTGTGGCAGGATGTTGGCCTCTCTGTGACAGTAACCAGAAAAATAGGAAGGCCCTCTCTATGATACAATGCGAGGCGGCTAGCTCATGAGTGGCCCGAGGGGTGTATGCCTCAGAGTGTGAGGCGGGGTGTTGGCCTCGCGGGACCACTAACCGAAGCATAATGCAGAGAAAAAAGGGGGTAATACCTATTGGGCCCTAGAACCCTAATTGCCAGTACACTACTACTATTCCAGGGAAGGTAAGAGATGGATAACCACGTGAGCAGGTGTACGTACCTGGTAGTATGGTATTAAACCTGACAATCCGTATAGGTTTTTTAGTAGTAACTGTAACCTGAATGGATAAAATCATATGGCATAGACCAAGCTTATCTTAAAACATACAGTATATGTGAAAGTAAAGTGCCGTGATATGTAAATATTAATCATATCCATACTGGTTAAATATGTATCAATCGTAATCCATTAAGTGCCGTATGTATGTGAACCATATTACCAGTTACGTATATACAGATGCGTGTGCTACTGTGTAATAATATGTGTATTTATAACAGATATTGATATACTGCTTGCTAAGTGAATTGTTGTATGCCTTATTGAATGGTCAGTGAACATGGTGTTGCAAAATGCAAGTGCACTGGAGATCTGCCGAGTGCCCTATAGGTGGCAGTGTAGTTGATACTGATTGGTATGTGAAATGTTGTTTGTCTGTTGACCTATAGGGGTCAGTGTTTTGGTGTTTGTAAAACCCCATGAAAATTGTCAATGTACTTGACAGACCTGTAGGTGGCAGTGTTGATAGAACCACTGTTGGTCTTAATGTGAAATGTAAATTATTGTGAATTAAACCTGAAGTTGAGCCCGTGTTGGAGTTTAGTTTATGGTTATGTTTAAAACAATCTTATGAGTAATTTATATTGGCTGGTAATTGTATATGACATGTGAAGACAGTTTTGCTGTTGACCAGTAGGGGTCAGAAATGCTGATTGTATGGTAAAATACCCTTTAACCCCTGAAGGATACATGACGTGTGACATATCATGATTCCATTTTATTCCAGAGTTTGGTCCTTAAGGGATTATTCCAAATGCAAGGTTAACGTGAGATTTTGAGTGACCTGTAGGGGTCAGTGTGGTTTATGTGAAACCTTGTTTGTGAGCTATGCCCCAGCATTATAGTTGTATGACAGGGAAACGAACAGTGCCCGTTTGACAATATACAATATATGAACACAATAGCTTAACAATCATTGTAACAAACCAAAGTTCTGTTCGCGGGTTGTAAACGCACGAAGCGTGTGTGTGTGTGGTACAATAGTAAATGCATGAACTAGTTCCCGTTTGGCAGAAAATTGCACGAACCGTGAGCCTGGCATGTCAGGGAAACAAAACGAAACGAGCAGTGAGATTCGAAATGCACACACAGAATTGCCTGGTATGTTTAGGCAATTGAAACAGAATGTGTTCCCGTTTGGGAGTATGCTAATGCTCAAAATGAGCCAGTGACAGATATAAACAAGTGAATTTAAACGAATGATATGCATGAACATCCAATGGTTTTAGGACAGATTTAGACAAAATGCAGCCGTAAAGTGAGGACCTGACCCGTGCATGGTGCCGTGGGACTGATGCCTGGCATAACGGGTAGGTCGACTTACGGTTTGTGAATCACTTGGACACCATCCATGGCGATAGATTGAAGAAAGAATGTGGAAGGCCAGAAAAGCCTGTGGCTGAATTCCTGACACAGCTCAGCAAAACCTCATGGAGTAATCAGGTAAAATGGAGTCTGGATGACCCGGAAGTGGAAATCATTCTGATGCTGACTTCAAGTGATAGGAGTCAGGTCCCCTTTTATATAGGGGAGTGAATTAAGTTAAGCCCCTCCCACAAATACAGGCCAAATGGCCTAAAAAAAAAAATATATAAAATTTTTTTTTTTTTTTAATTCTTTATTTTATTGTGCATTCTTGTCTAGCCACAATAGCATCTACAAGCTTAGTAGTAACAGTTACGACTGATTTTCATTATGGCATAGCAGGTAGTAGCACATTTTTTGGTTTAGTGAGGAAAAACCGTTTAGAAAAAAACAAGTTAACATAAAAGTGCTTGGTCATGCAGTAGGTAGCTTCTAAAGTAGTGATAACATATATATCGACTTGCACAATACATGCTGCGTTTCAAGTGTTGGTGAAGGCATGTTAAAGTTAAAGGCATCATACGTTGTACACAAGAGAAACTATATAACAGTAAGAATATATTTATAAATATGCCCTATTTTATAGCAGTGGCGGAACCAACCTCGCCACTATGCACTGGAGAAGCCTGGTTGCCAGCCTCCTGCCATGTGACTATGGCCCCTGGGATGTATTGCCCTTTAAAGACATGATTTGGGCATAATGGATTTGTGTTGTGCTGCTGCTGGCCCTTTTAAGAACCATCTGGGGACATACTGTGGAGTTACTGGGTGGCCACCATTTCCTGTATCAGAAGCACATGGTGAGAACAATGGATGGCGGCCATTTTAACTCACAGACACTGTGTGGACTTTTCAACATGGTGCCATCTCGCCAGTATTTGTTGCACAGAGATTGTTTTTTATTTAGCCTGTATATGTTCTGCAGAATCTGCATTAAACTGTATTTTCCAAAGTACTGAACGGATCTGGGTGAATTTTGGATATGTGGTTCACCCAGATCCCCCAGTTCCAAGGATATACTTTTATGGGGTTATTGCATGTTTTGGGGTCCCTGTGATGTGTTTTATGAAACTGTATTTCTGTTCAGAGGGGAGGATTTTGTGTGGGAGTGTCTGGGTGTATTGTATGGATTGATTGGCTGTTTTGTAATGCCCTGTGGGCTGTACTATGTTTGTGGATTGGGAATAAAAGAGACTGTATGTGACAGTAAAGGGAGTTCCTGTTTTAACCCTCAAAGTGAAGTGTCGTCTCATTATTGGGGGAAGGATTTATTGTATGCTGTTCCAGTTTGACTGCTAGGAGAGTAAACCTATTCGTATGGTTCCTATTCAACTGTCTACAGCATTCATATGCTTGAGAGGATTCATATGCTTCTCCGGTTCGGTGGTTGTGGTGTCTGCTGCAGTGCTTGGAGTCCTCAGGAAGCGCTAGGAGCATCCTTTAACGGAGGTACCCAGTCGGGGTGCCAGGCGATCCGTTACAATAGCCTAGGCCTATATATCGTGCGTTTAGAGTGGGATAATTTTTGTAGGCATCAAACAGCATGTAATGAGTAAAGGCTACTCCATTAATAACAAAATGCTAGTTGTGTGTCTTCAATAGCCTGCGTATGAATGGAGAGTCTTCAGATGGCCTGGTGTTCCTATGTGACAAGAGTATGTGTGGTGACAGATTTTTGGTACCAATGGCTTACATGAGATGTCACGGTGGGTTTAATATGCTCGTGAGTTGAGGGTGAAAATGGTGGTAAAAGTGCATGAGCTGTCATCCACCAGAAATTTATATTATAGTAATCCTTTTAGATTATGTATGTTGAGGTAACATAGCTAGTGTAGAAATGTAAAATAGAACCAACTGACTGGTGTCTTTAACCATGGCTGGCTGTTCAGGTATGTGAGCTTAAACCCACAGAAATGGAAAAAAAAAAAAAAACTACAATGAGACGATGTAGTTCAGCTATGTTAGTCTGATTGTCCGGCTTGGCGTCTTCCTATGGTGCACAGGTTCCGTTTTCTGCATAGTTGTGTGGGAACTTGAAGTTATAGGTATTCCTGGACTCTCGGGCTGTCGGGGGGGTATGTATAGTGTTGTACAATTCTTTATGCAAGTCCTGCAAGATGTGGTGGCCTTGGCATATGGGTCCGTGGTTGTTCTCCAGGGTACAAACTTCGGGGCATCGGCTGAGTATCTTCCTTGTGGGTGCGTTTGGCCTGCTGGTCGCATCGTCGTGGCCAGTGAGTCCGTGGGGAGGCCAATTAGACTAAGCGTCACAGTGGCCTATTGCAAGTCCTGAAGAATGTTTGTTACCTCGTGCTTCAATGGTGAGGGTGCAACCTGGTACCCAACGGTACCAGATTTGATGGAGGCGCAGGAGAGCTGTGAATGGGCTCCTGTGTCTCCTCCACGCCAGCGTCCCTCCTGACAGACCCGCGTAGAATGAGAGGGTCAGTCCCTCGAAGGGATATGTGGGCTGTCCTCTAACGGTTTCTAGGACTTTTTTTTTGTTTTTGTTTTTTTTTTTGTTCCTGAGTGACTGAAATTGGAGAATTAGGTCCCCTGTTGCCATTGGTGGGGTCTTTGCTGGCCGAGGTATGTGGAATATTCCTTCCAGGGCGATTGCTTTCACTGCTTTTGGGGTTAGTAGCTCTATAAGTAATCTCCTGATGAAATGTGGGAGTTCGGTCCCTGGGACGGTGTAGGCAACCCCCCTTAGCTTTATATTCCGATGATTTTTATCTACGTGAGTGGCAAGTTGTTGTTCGTGTTGCCAAGCTTTTTGTTGCAGATCTCTGCTCGCCTCTTGGAGGACTGCAATCTGGTTGGTGTGGCCAGTGGAGGAGTCTTCTACTGCTCCCAGCCTGTTGGTGATGCCTTTAATGTCCTCTCTGAGTAGGGCCACATCATCCGCAATCTTCTTATGATGGTCGGCCATAGGTGCTCCGATCGCTTCCATGGTCACAGGGGTATGAGGCTTTGTGAATGGCTGCACCTATGTTGGTGACATGGGGTCTCCCCGTCTTCTTCTGATGATCTGTCAGTGAAATCCGAGAAGCCACCGTGCAGGGGCGCCATCTTGGCTCCTGCAGCATCATGCACCTGCCTCCATAATTCCCAGATATCCATGCCCTAGCGGGGCTTGTCGGGTCTCGCTTTTTCATTTTTTTATTTATTTTTTTTTTTTTCTGCCCATGTGGGGTCTCTGGGTCGTCCCGGGAGAAGTTTGGTGTGGGTTTAACCCCTTAAGTATATTCCGTCATGATTCCCTTTTTATTCCAGAAGTTGTGTCCTTAAGGGGCTAAGTGTTGGAAATTATGTTTATTTTGCTTGTCGGTCCGGAGCTCCATGGCCATGCGACCATTTGCTTCAGGCGCTAGGCTCCGCCCCAATGCTGCCATTATTAATCAGGTATAAGGAAAATGTTTAATACTTGTCGTAATTTTCTTTTCCTTATCATTATTCATGGCAGCATTACGTTTCCACCCATATACTATAAGTTGCAAAGCTAGTTACAAAGACTGCCTAGGAAAGGGAAGGCTATATTTATACCAGTTTCAGAACTCTATTTCCTGCCCTTTCTGCTGTGAGGGGAGGAGCTAACCCATGAGTAAATGCTGCCATTAATAATAATCCGGAAAAGAAAGCTACGGTAAGTATGACATTTTTTTCCTTATTTACTGGGTTTTACTGATAAAATGACATTGGGTCCAAAGTTAGTAACCTATACTAACACCTGTATAAAGGAATTTGTCAACTAGTACATAGTCTGTCTGCATTAAACCCTTTTTTTTCTTTTTGAGGGCAATAGATGGTCTGATCTACTATAATTAAAAAAAAAAAAATAAAACTCACCTTGTGAGAAAAAAGCAGCCATCAGAGTTCCTAAAACTTCCCTTCTACATAAAAACAGAAATAATTGGTCAGTAACAAGATAATACAATCTAGAGAAATTTAGACATAATTTGTTTTTCATGGTAAACGCATGACAAAGAAAGCAAAGCAACAACTTATTTTTTAGTATAAATATAAAACCTGTACGGTAAGGCAATTATTAGACAAATATACAATCTCTCTCTCTCTCTCTCTCTCTCTCTCTCTCTCTCTCTCTCTCTCTCTCTCTCTCTCTCTCTCGAAATAAATAAGTTATTTACACTAACATCTACACAACAAACTTTATTTCAAAAAATATTTAATAAAATAGAGCAGATTAAGCAAGGGTTAGTACTAATAATGGGTGACTACAATTGTGTAATTGACCATTTGAAAGATAGAGCCAATATGATAGGAAAAGCAGTAAAACAGAGAATAGAATGCAAAACATATTTAGTAATTCTAATTTGAGAGATATATGGAGAACATTCCATCCATCCGACCTAGACTACACCTGCTATTCCAGAACATTCAACTCTTATTCTAGGATTGATCTTATCCTGAGAAACGTGACCATGCTATATCTTGTCAAAAGAATAGACCTACAGGATATCGCATTGTCCGATCACAGCCCTATTATGTTGGAATATAAAGACAACTTTGATACTTTACGCAAAGAGTGGTGCAAAAAAGATTTCATACTACACAAAAAAATATTGAAGGAATTAAGAAAATAACAGAGCTTTTCTTAGAAAATAAAAATAAAGGCACACATGGTCTGGTGCCTTCACAAAAGCTTAGCTAGAGGCCACTTGATAAAAATGGTAGCCACCGCAAACAAAAAAGGAACACTGCCCCTCTCCAAATTATGTATAATACTAAGTGAATATAAAAGGCAGAATAAAATAACACCTTAGTACAGAAAAAAGTGCTCAGTGTAAATAGGCGCTTAGTGGAAATGCAAATTAAAACAGCAGCTCAACACACGTGCAGGTATCCCAATCCTACACAAACAGATATGTGAAAAAAGAGTGTGAACTTCGTACATGTATTACCACCACAAAGATCACTCTGTGGACTGCTAGAGATATGGAAATATATTACCCCTATATAAATATTATATATATCACTTTAACAGCATATATACTCTAGAACAGAGAAATACACATCATAGTGCAGAATGATTGTAAAATGTGTATGGAATGGAGGAGAGTGTAAGTCCAACTCACATGGCACAGAGCCTAAGGATTGGCTCGAATCACAACAGCTTGGGTATATTTAGGCAATACCAGACCTCCTCCCGATATGCAGCTCGCAGAATATATAGAAGAGAAAAGAGGTAGAATTCCTAGTGCAAATACGTATGGTAGGAAGAGTGATCACAAAAAATCATATGAATGTGCTCACCTGAAATAGAGCCGATAATATTAGGCTCTATATATATGCGCCACTGTGCCTTTAAGGGAGGCACTACACTTCTTTGATGAAATACAGGAAGCAGCAGAAGATCCACTCACAGGTATGTATATATAAAAATAACAAATTTATTTTAAAAAACAAAGTAATAGATAAAAGCTATAATCAGTAAAATACCAAAATAAGCAAAGGTCCATCTACCACAACACACTCGACTGAGGGTGTGCCCACATGGGGGGTATTGAATCCCCTGGTGTACAGAGTAGGAAAAAGTAAAAATAAATAAAATAAAAAATACTTTATTGAAAAACGTATAGAGACTATATAAGATACATGGGATCCGGGATAGGGGATTGGTCCGTGCGGCTGTATTAACAAAATGGGAGGCAACAGGGTAGATACAGTAAAGAGTTACTGTATGGCAGTGTTGTAAACCAATAACTACCTAGAAGCTATTTACTCAAGAAAACCCTTATAGTGCCAGGATTTCTGCATAAAATATAATCAAACTACTATTTTGGGAATGACACCCAATAAACAAGGTGTCGTTCCCTGGAGTTTGTGGCAAGCCGTAAGCCCGTTAGATAGGTAGTAAATAAATCAGGCAGAGAGTGCTGACTGCACTAGTGAGATAAAATGGGATCACAAGTATAATACACAGGTAAAGAGAAATAGTCATAATAAAAATGAAAAAATTCCCCTTAGTATAAAGATACCCAGATAGCTCAATTCATCTAGATAGTAGTCAGCCCCACAATTCAAAGGTAGTGGAATGCTTGCAAATGCAGACAAAGTAGCAAGAGTGAAAGTATATTGCTAGTTCTTAGCAAAGTGCTATCAATTCTTTGCAAAGTGCTATTATCCTGGGATTGTGAATTCAGAAAGAGATACAAAGTTGCATTAGTATGAGCTGCTGTGAGTAAAGCGAAAAGTTCCCCGGTAGATAGATCCAGGGACAGAGAGCTACCCCTGCCTCTTAAGTAAAAAGGACGTCTCCCAACCAGCCAAACGCAACACCCACAAATTCCCAACCCCATGCATTATAGAAATTAAAAAATTAAATAGAAATAGAAAAATCCGCCTAAGCCTGAATCTTGCGTATAGATGTAAAGTAAAGGTATCTAGCTAGGCTGAGCTTCTTGCTCGACGCGCGTTTCAGCGCTGTGTGGCGCCTTTTTCAAGAGTGGTGAGGAGGTCCCGTCACCGCCAGAGTTTTTTAAAGGGACTAGTGCCCGCCTCTCCCGTGACGTCATGGCCAATCGCATGAGGCCGTGTCACGGGAGGGGGAGGAGTCAAGGAATGCTCGGACCGGCAATCATGC